TAGTGTCTGCACCAGTGTTCTAGAAAAAGAACCAAGTGAGAAGAAAAAATGACAAATCAACAAATTATTTAGTCAATATTGTCAAAATATAGTTTTGAATAAAAACTGGCCGCATTTGCTTTTTCATAGAATTAACTCTGTTTTCACTCTCTCTCCAATTGTTTTGGCTTCTGGGTAAGCATGAGCTATGTCTATGCAAAAAGTACGGAATTGTTGGAGAACCATTTGGACCATGACTTTTGATGGGGCCAATCAGAGGCTATCCGTCTAAATGGTGGCATGCTCAGAGATGTTTCTGGAAGTCTGTTGGTCAAAATGTTTCACAGTGGGGCTGGCCCGGTGGCGCACTGGAGAGTGTGCCGCTTGGGAGCATGGCGGCGCTCCTGCTGAGGGTTCGGATCCCATGTGGAGACCAGTTCCCGCTCACTGGCTGAGCGCGGTGCATGCGCAACACCGAGGGTTGCGATCCCGTTGCCGGTCCGTAAAAAAGACCAAAAAAAAAGGAAAAAAAAAATGTTGCACAGTGTACCATGGCTGATCAGTTTGACTGAACGTTTTACTTGGATGGTTCTTGCAGTGTGTGAAGATGCTGCTCTTCTGAAGTTTTAACTGTGTAAAAAGATTGGGAGCTGCTTCATGTGCGTCTGTGTCCTCTGGCGCCTCCACTGATGAGGTTGGCTTCTGTGAAATGGCTTGCTCTTTATCTTCCTTTTTCACTGTTTGTTTCTTCCCAGTCTCTTTCTTGGGCTTTTCTTTCTTCATTTGGTAGCATTCCCTAATGCTCATTACCCATGGTATTTTGTTTTCATCTCTCTCTATATCTAAACCAATTGCCTCAACTTCCCAGATAGATCTTTCTAGTAAACTCCAGTCCCTTCTTAATTTAGCTTCTGATTAAACATTTCCACTTACAGTACCAAATAATATCTGTTTTCACCATCCTGCTATCTGTTCCTTCTTTTTAAATATTTTTTTAAAACAAAAAAAATTAATCTTCTCCTAATGGGTATACAACTACGCTATCTACCCTAAGTGAATCATTGTGCGGTACATGCATGTATTGAAAGAACACCCTGTACCCCACAAATATGTACAATTAAATGTTAAAATAAAAAATTTAATATTAAATTTTACTTTTATCTCAAATTTTATTTAATGTTAAATTTTACTTTTAACAGTTTCCTCTTTTTAAAAAAAATTTGCTTGTAGAATAGCACCATTATCCACAAATTGCTCAAGTAATTTGATGTTTTGAGAATATTCATGACTTGTTTCCTTTTATTCCTCTACAATCTGTTGGCTACTAAGTCCTGTAAATTTTGCCCCCAAATATCTGTTGTATCTTTTTAATATTCTGCATTCTGACCCCAGTGCCTGAACTCAAGTCTTCATTATTTTTTGCCAAGGCTATTACAGAAAACTTCAAGCCATTTATTTTTTATGCCAGGCTGTTTTGCTCTTTTCTGTTTTTCAAGAGCAGACAATTTTTGTTGATATGATATTTAAATAGAAACTCTCTTCGACTGAAGCATGGTTTTGAAACTTTTAAGGATTTATAAAAGATTATCTAAAAATGGTGGGAGAAGAGTGTGAAAGAGAAGATGGTATTGGTTCAAGATTTTATTTGTTTTTCATTAATAAAACATTGATATTTAGATAATCTCCCTTACCGTGATCTCTCCTTCATGAATAAGTATTTGCACCCAGTTAAGGTGAAGCATGAACAACTTAACTTCACTTTGAGGGGGATGTTATTTTCTGTCATTGGAAAAAATAATCACAACCTGGATATTCACACAGTCTTCCCACTGGACCTCTCTTCCCAGAGGTTAGGCACACTCCCCTTACCTTGCTACTGGCGGCACAGCCAGCAACCGTGCAAGCCTTTAGCTGATATAAATATTCCTGAAACGGCTGAATTCCCTTTGTATCAGAGAAGCTCAGCGATGTTCCCCGAAAGCGTTCGATTCCATTTCGGAGAAGAATGTAGTAAATAATGGGACCTAAAAGAAGCAGAGAAAGGCCTGTATTGGAGTGTCATATCACTTAACTTTTTGTAAAAAGCTTAGGTGTCTCAGTGTTCTGAATAAATGGGATAATATAGCATTATTTAATTTTAATTTGCTAATATATCCCTATGCTCAAGCAGTTCTTAAGCACACTATTATGGAGGAGATGGATTCTTGACATGAGTAATCAGAGTTGTTTATGTTTATTTCCCTTCACTATCAAACAAGTTTACTTGCAATATTAAAACTATTTAGTTTTTCCCTGAATATACTTTGCTTACTTGAAAGCAGCTCAGATATATGCTGGGATTCAAGGAACTTTTACATTTTTACTTATTTTTTGGGCTAAAACTTTATATGGGCTACACCACAAAATGAATGATTAGTTGGCACATAACTAAAGTTCCCTTTATCAGCAAATACTTTCTAGAGGTTAGATGCATGCCAATTAAAATGTAGACTACATTCATTTTAATTTCCTTATGGATTTATAAGATTATGTTTGTTTTTCTATTTTAAAAGTAGCTCAATACCATTTGGTTGTATAGGTTTCTTCCAGTTTAAGACAAATGCATCGTCAAGATTGTCCATTTTGGTCCACTGAGGGGGACTCACTCCTTGAGGCACATCTTCTTTTGTGCTGGCTCTAACAGTTCTGCTGAATCCTCTCCCGTAGCTGTTCCACACAGAAACTCTGTACTCATATGTCATGTAGGGCTCCAGGTTCACATCTGCAAAGATAGAAAACAGTGAGGTTTTTCTTATTTTTATTTTTTACCATCATATTAAAAATAAATATCAAAACCTTGAAACATTTAAAAATAAATGCGTAATGCTCTAATCCCTTTGTGTATAAATAAAACTCTAATATCTTTAATTCCTAAATCATAAAAAACATTAAAATGTTTATTTGATGCAGAGATACGGAATTGCACATAATAGAATTCATCATTTCTGATCAGAGAAACATGGATACATTAAAGAAATGATTGAAAATAAAATCACTTTGTTAATGTATAATTAGATGTTAATGCTTTACAAGTTCATGTACTCTTTACTCTTGTAGGAGACAAGTGTGCCAACAGCCTTTTATAGTTTTATTATTATCAAGTTTACCGATTATTACTTTCTATAACTTTATTAATATAACTTCATTAAAAGAGCATATGAATTATAATGTAGTTGTTATGAGACACAGGCTTTGTTGTTGTTGTTTTATCATGGTACCATGTTAGTGAATAAAAATGAATGCACTTTCCACTAATACTTCCTTCCCTCTTCCAACAAAAACAGAACTGAAACCAAAACCAAAACTACCACCTAATGAAACAACAAACCAAACCTGCTGAGCTTTTCAGATTGGCAAAAATTTTATTAGGTAATGACCCATGTGATTCAGCAGTGTACCCAAAGTCTTAGTTCCATTTTAAGCTTTAATAACTTTAGAAGTACAAATGCTACATATTTCCTAAAAAAAAATTACTTGAGTTTACTTATATTTATTTTCCACTTACTTAATTTTGTGAATTTTGAATGTTTGTATGTTTCTTTTCTTTTTTTTATTTCTTTTTGTGTGGTGGTTTCTGGATGACTCTTTCTCAGACAATGATGACTTTTTCTCAGAAAAGGAGGTCCTCTTCCCTGGCTGCCTGGCCACCTGCTCTATCTCCATTGGACATGGGGTCAATTCTCAGGCCATCTGTTTGGGTTATTTGAACCATATTGTCCTTACATGTATCTCCCTACAATAAACCCTACCCTGTCTACTTTATAGAATTAATATGAAAATAAAATACAAGAAGTTATGCAGCAGAACTTCACAAAATGCAAATTGTCCTACAGATGCAAAGCATTATTTTCCATCTCCATTTCCTCTGGCAAGAGGGTATCTGCCACTTGTTGCCTGTGACGACCACCATGGGTCCCCAGGTCTTTCATCCTGCTCAGCACTTACTGGTTAGAAACTACATTTCCCAGTTTTGTTTGCAGCTTGATGTGGTCACATGATTGAGATCTCAGCATCCGAAGGCATATGAAAGAGATATGGGCAACTTCTGTGTCACTGTTTAAGGAGGAAATTGCCTGTCGTCTGTTGCCATTCTTACCTCCTGCTGGTGGGCTGGAACTGGGGTATTGTGATGACTCAGGCTGCACCACAAGAATGAGGGTAGCAGCCGAAGCCCAATGAACCACAGAATGGAAGGACTCTGGATCCATGAATGACCTATGGTACTGACCCGCCCAGACCATCCACCTACCCAGAGGCGGTCACTATGCTTTTACATCTCTTTGCTACAGCATATTGAACTGCTCACTGCTAATAACTGCTATTTTGCACCCTCAAGACCACAGACACTTCTAAATCCAGTTATGGCAGCTCTCTCTGTTCTCTCCTCTGCTGCTCTTTATTTGTCTCCTTTCTGCTCTCCATATCTTCTCCTTGTTTCTTTCTTTCTTTCTTTTTTTTTTGTCCTTTTTGAGACCGGCCGCACTGCGCTCAGCCAGTGAGTGCTGTGAGTGCACGGGTCATCCCTATATAGGATCCGAACCGGCGGCGGGAGCGCTGCTGTGCTCCCAGCGCCACACTCTCCCGAGTGCGCCATGGGCTCGGCCCTTCTCCTTGTTTCTTTCTTTCTTTCTTTTTTTTTTGTCCTTTTTGAGACCGGCCGCACTGCGCTCAGCCAGTGAGTGCTGTGAGTGCACGGGTCATCCCTATATAGGATCCGAACCGGCGGCGGGAGCGCTGCTGTGCTCCCAGCGCCACACTCTCCCGAGTGCGCCATGGGCTCGGCCCTTCTCCTTGTTGGCGGCGGGAGCGCTGCTGTGCTCCCAGCGCCACACTCTCCCTAGTGCGCCACGGGCTCGGCCCTTCTCCTTGTTTCTTTATCTTCCTATGAGGCCTGGTCTTGCAAAGATGCTCCCAGCCCATTAAAGCATTCTTTTTGCTTTGCACATAAGCTGTCGTTTGTCGAAATTTTGCTTTTCCTCAACAATCTTTCTCACTTTTTAAAGCTCTTTTTGTTTCTTTGTGAGAATTGCCAACTCTTCCAACTCTTCCCACCCTCACTTTTTAAAGAAAAACTTCTTGGCTCAAAATAACTCTGTGTTATATGGTACTACTCTTCAATAATAGGATTTTTGGGTTTTTTTTTTTCAGTTTTGGGGGGGTATGTTTGATCAATTTGTTAATTTCTTAAATGTCTCAGACATATTTGTCTTATTTCAATTATTTCTTTAATACCTGACAGAGTAACCCTTCAAAAATGCACATATGATTGCACCATTCTATTGCTTTACAAACTTTACAACCCACTCTTTGTTGCATGAAGACAACTGCTCGGTGTGGCATAGAAGTTTGTCATAACCTGACCCCTGCTCTTTCACCTCGTCTCTCACTCCTTTCTCTCTCCCGTACTGTGCTACATCCACATGAGGTACCTGTGGTTTTCACACCTTCTGTGCTTTCTCTTGTTTCCAAATTTGCAAATGTAGCTCTTTGCCTGGTTACCATCCCTCAACCTAACAGGCTTCTACTTCTTCAGTTCTCAGTTCAGGCATAAAGTCCTTCTTGAAGTCTTTCTCAACCTTTCTAGACTGGGCTAAGTGTCCTTGCAAAAGCAGCATAGGATGACGATGCTTACTTCTACCACAGCACTCCCATGCACACAATTTATCACATTACAGTGTAATCGTGTATTTACTTCCCTGTCTCTTCAGATAGGCTTCAAATTCTTGATGAAAATTCTTGTTTGTTGTTATAGCTGCTGGTCCTAGTATAGCAACTGGTTATTTGTACGTATTTAATAAATATTTTTTGATAAATAAGTAATTGCATGAATGAATGAATTTTGGTTAGCACTGGGATTGTCAGCTTTCAATTGTAAGTTTCTGAAAAAGACTGACTTCATCTAAATTGGTCTCAATGGAATTATCATAGCACCCCTTGCATGCTTAATGTTTTTCAATTTATAATATTTTCTGGCAAGAAAGCAATCTGAAATATGGATTTTAAAAGCTTTCATAATATTATATCAGTAGGTGGAAACATCTATTCATTTCTGGAGAGAGCTACTGCAAGTACATCTCAAAGGCCCTTTACTACAATTTATAATATTTTCTGGCAAGAAAGCAATCTGAAATATGGATTTTAAAAGCTTTCATAATATTATATCAGTAAGTGGAAACATCTATTCATTTCTGGAGAGAGCTACTGCAAGTACATCTCAAAGGCCCTTTACAATCTTGATCTTGATCAGAAGGGTCAGATAACAGCAGGGAACTCTCCTAGATGGAAACCCAATCATCTTCAAATGAGGGCCCATGACTTAAATCTATAACTGGGAGTAGGAGGAAATTGGAAGGTTGGACAAACTATCATCTATCCTGAGGCCTTTCCTCATTAAATTCATTCCAATGAAATTTTTTTTGTTTGCCTACAGTGTGCTAAATCCAAATAATGAGGCAAAGGTAAACAAAGGTGTCCTATTCATAAGGATACTGCAATATAATAGGAGAAATGGCACTACTGTCCAAATGTCCATGGCACATGGTAGAAGTGGTGCACTTTATAAACAATGTACCACAGCAGCACAGAGGAGACAGGAGCTAGACTTGGGAATCCTGTATCAAGGACGTGAATCTTGACATGGGCCTTGAGGAGGAGGATGAGGAAGGACATTTTAGGAGGAAGGCACAACTTGAGGGAAGTCTGGAGCACTGTTAGGACTGTTAGGATCTCCTACAACATGTGCAGTCTTCTTTTTTTGTGTGTGTGGCTGGCCAGTATGGGGACCCAAACCCTCGACCTTGGTGTTATAACAACTGCATTCTAACTGAGCTATCCAGCGAGCCACAATCTTCTAAATCTGCAACATAGCAAGTTACTTTCGCAGATCCTGTTTCCTCATCTGTTAAATGACCATACTTATATGATTACTTTCAGGGTAACTGAATTAAGGTTTTTAAGTACCTGTTACAGCACTGGGACTAAATAATGTTCAGTAAACTTTATCTCTGTCCTTCCTTCCCCTCTTATTTCGGTTTTCTGCCTTGTCTTTTGCCTTCAGGTTTACCGTCATTACCCACCATTGCTTGAGGAAGGCAGAGTGATGGTTCGTTCCTGAGTAGAGCATCGTTTAACCTTGACTTGCTCAACTTATGTCACTTAAATGGATTGTATTTGTCTCTACATGATAAATGACACATACAACTTGATATTTCAAAAAAAAAAAAAAAAGAAACCAAATAAACAAAAACACATTCTGTAGGGATTTAAGTAAATGGATGAATAATAAAAATTTAATAGATGACAGAACTATTTAAGACATAATTCTAAACCTTACAGTGTTTCTCACTTAGCTTAGCTAGCCAGAGCTCAAAACCACTATTTTGGACTTGTTCAATAGGGTAAAGATGGTGCTTAGAAATTAATATTTTCAGGGCCGGCCCCATGGCTCACTCGGGAGAGTGCGGCGCTGAGAGTGCAGCAGCACTCCTGCCACGGTTCAGATCCTATATAGGGATGGCCGGTGCGCTCACTGGCTGAGTGCGGTGCGGATGACATCAAGCCAAGGGTTACGATCCCCTTACAAGTCACAAAAAGACAAAAAAAAAAAGAAATTAATATTTTCAATAACTGTGAAGGTTACTGTTTCCAAGATAATTGGTCATCTTGGGGACAGACCATGGGTTTACCTCCTCCTCAGGATAACACCATTAAGTTTTACTCATAATTAGACAGATCCTATCCTTTCTTCTGTTTGCAAGGATGGCCATATTCATTCAATGCATTCAGAGAGAGCTTCATTCAAGCTTTTGAAAAAGAAAATTAATTAAAAATTAACTGGTTATACCAGAAAAGGGCACATAACTTATTTATTTCTCTGTTCTACATTCTATACAGGTTTACTTTAAAATAGCATACATCTTTGTTTAAAGTTAGACTTTAAAAATTGTTTAACTACTAACCGTGAGTACATCCAGATTATGCCTCTAATTGCCTTGTAACTAGCTGGCCCCAAAGTATGATGGAATTTATTGATATCAGGTTAGGGAGGGATGATGTCAGAGTGAAGTAAATCTGCATTTCCAGCAGCTTTTCACACCTCTACTACGCCATGAGCAGACGGCTCGCTTCCTGTTACCTGTGAAGGAGTGTGTGTTTACACTTCCTGTGTAGACGGTTTCTTCAGTAGATGAACATATCCGTTCCACTGACGCCTTCTCTGTGGGATTGGGAGACCCTCTTATCACAGTACAAACATGGCTGGTAAAGTTGAAGTCACACCTGCCACAATGTGCTGTGGCTTCCATCGATGCTGGGCAGAGAGTCCTGCACCCTTTGGTTTCCTAAGTCAAGTGGTAGGCGTGGGGAGAGAGAGAGAAGGGGATTTTAAAATTTCATTTAGACATATGTGGGGTAGATTTTTAGAGCTTTTAAATGAAATTTTCTTTCACCTAGTTGATGAATTAATATCTCAAAATCTATAAAAAGAAATGAAGGCAGTTTGTGTCCTAGAAAGAGATGCTACTGTGAAATGACACAGATTTGGATTAAAATTTCAGTTTTGCAACTTCTTAGCTCCATGACCTTGAGCAAGTCACATATGTTCTCAAAGCCTCAGCTTCTTCATAGGAAGAACTGAAATTAAATTTACCATGAAGGTTTGTTGTGTGAGTCTAACGAGATAACACTTGCAAATGCCTTGAACTTGGTATATATGCTACAGATAGTAACAGTAGTCATTATTTTATTATTGCTGCTTTGACACTTTCCTGAAGAGTCTTAGAGAAAATAAAAAAGGTGGTATTTGAGAATCTGCACTTCCTATGCTTATGGGAAATGTGGTCCCATACAAGTTTTAGAAAATCTAAATATTTCATGAACTGTCATTATAGTTATAAATATTTATATTTATAAATCTTTTCGGTCCCACACAAGTTTAAAAAAATCTAAATATTTCATGAACTGTCATTATAGTTATAAATATTTATATTTATAAATCTTTTCTTTGATGAATATCTGGACTTTTTATAGAGGTTGATAAGTACCAGTGCACTCTAATCTGAGGAAATTAAATACTTAATCATCCCAAATTACGGAAGCTACAAATAAGATAATATTGTTATCATGCAGAGATCTACTCTGCCTTTCCTAAATATAAGTATTTGCTATTAAAAAGTGATCTCCATTTAGCCTCTCTCTTGCATAAAGCAAG